TTTTGGCCCCCCTAAAATTTTCAGGGGGGCCCCCCTTGGGGGGGCAACGGCCCCCAACTTTTAATTTTCAAATGGGAAGACCCCCTTTGTGATAGCTCGTTCGAAAGAACATAAAAAAAGAAAACTTTTCGCGCAAACCCGAAGTCAATATCTCAAACCGTTTCAAAATGGCGGCCGGTTAAAGTTCAAAATGGCCGAAAATTCACACCGGTTATTTGTCGATGGATTTGCGCGAAAATCGGTATGTAGGGGTATTTTGACACGAGAAAAACGAATTTGACGTTAGATTTTCAAAAAAACCGAAATTTCCAAAATGGCCGCCGGTTAAAGTTTAAAATGGCCGAAAATTGTCACCTCGGTTTTTTGCTGATGGATTTGCCTAAAACTTGGAATTTTAGAGTATTTTGGCATAAGATAAACAAATTTGAACTTAGATTTCTAAAAAAATCAATTTTTTGTCATTTTGAACTTTAACCGGCGGCCATTTTGGAAATTTCGGTTTTTTTTTAAAATCTAACGTTAAATTCGTTTTCTCGTGTCAAAATACCCCCACATACCGATTTTCGCGCAAATCCATCGACAAATAACCGGTGTGAATTTTCGGCCATTTTGAACTTTAACCAGCCGCCATTTTGAAACGGTTTGAGATATTGACTTCGGGTTTGCGCGAAAAGTTTTCTTTTTTTATGCTCTTTCGAACGAGCTATCACAAAGGGGGTCTTCCCATTTGAAAATTAAAAGTTGGGGGCCGTTGCCCCCCCAAGGGGGGCCCCCCTGAAAATTTTAGGGTGGCCAAAAAGTAGCTCCCTTTGACCTAGGAATATCCCCCAAGTTTCAAATCTTTACCTCAATTAGGTAAAAAGTTAGAGGGGGTGGAAGGGACTTTTGGATCACCCTGTATGGCAAACTTCTTACACTGCAAGGAATTTTTAATTGACTTTCCTAGGCATTCCAAGCGTTTTGAGAAATTCTCCAGAACCTTTACAGATCACTTGCATATAATACTCTCATCTAACCCACCAGGAATGTTTATCTGACTTTTCAAGTCAATCCACGTTCTGAAAAGAGCCTATCTCTACTAGCACTTAGGCACTTTCACAAGGACTTTACTTTTGATTGGACTTATTCACTCATTCCGCGAGTTGAGAAGTTTAGTGCATCTAGAAAACTTGCAAATTTTTCCGAATATCACACCGGTGTCCATAGGATTTTCCTAGAAATTCCAATTTTTAAACAATCTCAAGAAATACTTCTGAATACCAGCAATGACGACAGACAATTTTCATCAGGCTTTTCTGGTACCTATACGAGCCTTTGATACTTCTCTAAGATAAGAATCATTCGGACGGATTAAAATTGATATCTTCAGATCATTCCCAGAATGCATCGCGCAGAAGCTGAGGAAAAATCTTATATCGTTTTAATAGGGCTGTTTCACAATTTTTTCTAGGTAAGATTTCGGAAGGAAGGAAACGAATAAAAATTCCTGAATTTTTCCGTTTTCTAATCTATTTGATCAAATTTTTGCTGAGAAAAATACTTTTTACGTCACCAAAAATCCAAACCTGTTTCAAACGGAAAAATAACCCGACTACAGATTCCGTGACGTCACAAATGGAATGGTCCGACCTGAATCATTTCACCCGCGTTTGTTTATTTAGTTTCAGGTCAGAGTTGTGACTAGAAGTTATGTAACTCGACCATCTTCGCAATGTTATCAATGAATGATGTAAATAGTCTTTTATCCCCCTTTCTCTTTTTTTTTTTTAAACTTGCAATCGTTCGTTCGTTATTTTTTGAATTTGCAGCGGCCATATGATGCATTGGATTTAAGGTGGTTGACAGGGATAATTAATTGACTAGCTTGCATATTATGTGGTGGGTCTATTATTGAAAAAGTTATGTGTACTTATGACGTGTATTTAAATTATATTTACTTAATTTTCATATTTTTGATAATAACACAAATTATCTATTGATGTTATTATATCATTTTGAGCATTAAAAAACCCGGAAACGTGCCAGTCGCTGAAATTTACCGGAAAAACGCCTGTAGCAGAAGCAATTCAAGAATTTCACGACAGTACAATCGGATCGCATTTAGCGAAAAAGAACCAGCGCGATTAAGGTGTTGTAAGAATATAACTTTTCTATTGTTACCTAAAAAATAGCTCGAAATAGCATACAGTATTTCCTTCTCACAAAAAAAATTGTTAATTTTAAAGGAGAATAATTGTGGAAATTTTGATTCCATACTTGTATTGAGAATTTTATGAGGTAAGAAGAAAATGCGCAATTTTTAAAACACTGTTTTTGCGCTAGTTCCTTTTTGCTAAATGCAATCCCGTTTTATAGCAGTCAAATTGAATCTCACTTAGCAAAAAGGAACTAGCGCGATTACAGTGTTGTAAAAATGTTGCTTCCTCATAAATACCTAAAGATTCTCACAGAATACATGGGGGGGGGGGGCNGGGGGGGGGGACATTGGATCTAGAGTTCAGACTCTTGAGAACATTGACAAGAAAAAGGACTCTTGATTCAATCAGATTTAAGCCTAAATCAAAAGGAAATCCGCTCAAATTAAGAGGCTTAGTTCTTGATTTAAGCTTCAATCTGATTGAATCAAGCGTATTTTTTCTTGCTGATGTTTTTAAGAGTCTGGACTCTAGATCCAATGTTTTTTTTTTTTTTTTTCCAGTGTAGCAAATAGTTGTGGCTTCCCACCAAAAAATTGTTAATTTTAAAAGAAAACAATTGTGTACATTTTTACACTTTACATATACTAAGTATTTTGAAAAGAAAAGGAGAAGTTGCACCATATTGCAAACATCGTAATCGCGCTGGATCCTTGCTGCTACGTGCGATGCAATTAATCCGGCATTTAGTCCTGACGTAGCCTGGCTGCCTGGATGCATCTTGCGGCAGGACCAGGCTCGGCTGCAGGTAAACGAATTACGGCGGACGGGCGGATTCGGAAGGCAGCGGAGGCGGCTCACATTTTCAGAGAGCGAAACGGCCGCGGCGAGCTCAACTCGGCTCGGGAGAAGACGAAGGCAGGCAGGCAGTGGATCCGAGCTCCGAAGCCGAGGCGAGGCGATAATAAAAACGATAAAAGCGGCCGAGCGAGGCCGACGCCGACGACGACGGGGTCATCAGGCGTCGGGATACCGGCGCTGGAATTGCGGCACGCGAGTCGAGAATGCGCCTACCCGCGGCTCGGAAGGCGCTAGGCGCAGAGTAGGCAACCCGCGGAAACAATCCTAGCCCGCGACCGCGGAGCTTACTGAGCACCGACACAGACACCTGCCCGAGCCCGCTTGTTTCCCTCGCTTTTATCCGCGTGGTTCTTGGTCTTTTGTCCCTCTGCGAGCTCTCAACGCGCACGACTACAGGGACTCGAAAGTTTACTGGTATCTACAGGGCACTGCAAATAAAAGTCTCTTGGATCCAGAGTCAAGGCTCTTGAAACATTTGACAGGAAAATTACTCTTAATTCGATCGGATTTTAGCTTGAATCGAAAGAAAATCCGCTTGAATCAGGAAGTTTGGCTCTCGATTTAAGCAAAAATCCGGTTGGTTCAAAAGTAATTTTTTTGGAGGTTGCCACAGAATTTAGAAAATGCAATTCCTTGAAATTCCCCTGACAATAATTGAGGATATACCAAATGGTTAAAAATGCATAATTAGAAATAGTTTTCACGCAAAATTTGTTGTTCGAAACGTCAGCGAAGGCAAAAATCTAATTGAATCAAGAGAATTTTTCTTGTCAGTTTTTTCGAGAGCCTGGACTCAAGATCCATGATGCATTTTCCCCCCGTGATTTTAACTGAGATTTCCTGATTTTTGAGCTGATAAATTGAATTTCTCAGTTCGAAAACGAGGGTCCCCATCTTGGAAAAATGAAATTTTTCAGGAGACCGTAAAAATTGCGTGACAGCCACAGAAAAGGAGTGTTCCCACGCAAAAAAATGAGCATCGTAAAAACCCGAATTGGGTCGATTGACACTCAAATCAACGTAAAACAAAACAACGTATTTGATGAATTGAGTCAAATGTTTCCTTTGCAAGTGCTGAACTGCGTGAATTTGAAAAATTCTGGACGCACTCGAAACTGGCTGGTCCACGACTGATTTTCCTGATTTTTCTTGATGAAATCAAACCTGAAATTGTCTAGTTTTTACCAACGGCTGATACCCTGATCTACAGAACCCATGATTTTAACTTCCTAGATTTCCCGGATTTCGACGCGGAAGTTACCTCATGAAAAATTGGATTTTACTTCGATTTTCTTCCACATTTTCTTGGGAAAACAAGGGCAAAGGAAATAACTTTTCTATCTTTTGTCTGATTCTTTGAAACCAAGTCAACACGGATTACCAATTTAGAAAATAATTAATTTCGGAGCGAAGAGAGAACAAATTTCCGGTTTTTAGCATCAATATCCTGACAGATCCCCTAATTTCTCCGGATGTCTTTCATTCCTCGATGAATTGCGGTGTTGCCCGGTTTTCGGAGGTCCTAAACATCAGGAATTGAAACTTCTTGAAAAAGTTCCCTGATTTTCATTTGTTTTCCTGATCAATGTACCGCTAAAAGTCTATTCCAGTCGACGATCTGGCGACTTGAATCAGAAACAGGAATAATTTATTTCAACCGCTAAAAGCGCACTTCACGCGCTGAAAACGCATGAAATAGAGAAACGAAGGGTAGTTAACACGTCCCTGGCACCTTGGAAAGAGGTTGATGCAGAAAAATTGGGCACACTTTTTTTCCATAGATTTTTTTAAAATGATGTAGTTAATGGGGGAAAGTAGTGCTTCAAAGAGTCAAAAATCGTATTTTGTATTAATTATCGCCAAAACGATGGACGCTGATATTAGTTTTCCGGACTTGGAAATTTTTATTTCACAAGAGTGTTGATCCCACGATGTACCCACCGAACAAATTAACTCATTGTAAAAATTAAGAATAAATGTGATAAATAGAGAATGGTTTCCTACCTCTTCCATATTTAATGAAGAAGCATCGTTAGGCGGTAAAGTAATCCACATAAAAAAACTGTAACAGACAAACAAACAACGAATATTAGACATTTTTATTATGTACAGGAGAAACAAGACAGTTCTTACAGTCCTCTTTCTTACCAAGAGACGGTCAGAACGATAATGAGGCAAAAAATTTAGTTAATTCAAAGATCACAAGAAACAACATGATACATAGAGACAAGGTGACTAGCTTGGCCCAATTTCGGAAGTAATTTCAGTTCGACCGAACCCTCAAAGAAAATGAAGGATGCGTAGCCCACTGAGGACTTGCACTCAAAAGTAAGCAAAACGATAGAAACTATATGATTAAACTTAAGACAAAGGGGAAGTGGAATATGGAAATCCTGGAGGGATCAACTGAAATGAGAGTCTATTTGCGCGTTTTCGGCAGCGTGCTATGATAAACCAAGTATGAAAGTCTCATCCTTTCAAAGCTTTCTCATTAGGGTCAACGTGGAAAGTCGAATTTCAGCGCTTTTAAATGAGGTACCGGTACGAATACTGTACATCCGTATCGACCAATCAAAACGCTCGCCGTTCAATGTGTCTCCGTGCCTTTCCCGTGACAGTGGACACCCTGGCGACACATTTTTCTCCAAAAAAAACACGTCTCAAATACAGGGTGAGCAGATTTCTTGGATCTCAAAATTCCATTACTTTACAGAGATTAAAAACATAAAATTCCCTGACTTTTTTGCGACTTACGATTGTTCTATTGGCATCATTTCTAAAGACAATGCTTATCACAAAAAAATTAGGGTGCAGTAGCTTGAAATTGAAACGGTAAGAATGCGAGACTTTTAAAGAAAGCTGTTGTGTAACGTTCTATTAAACACCACCAAATGTAACAGTTGTAATTTATATTTTTAATTATTGTATAGTATTTTTTGACCTGTGCCATAGCCCTAATAATGGGGCTCACATGTACGAAAGTTATAAATAAATAAATAAATAAATAAATAAATAAATAAAAAGTTCTAACTTCCGTTAAAAGAACGTAACTCGTAAGGGATGTAGTATGTTTCAGCCGGAAGAAAGGATTTCAATGTTCCTAAGCAAAATTCCCTAACCTTATCAGGGCTGGATAAAATTCCCTTCACATTTCGAGGACGTCACAGGGTGTCTGCTGGTACTCTGTCATTAAAATTCCTTGCTTTTCCTTGCTTTTCCGAAAAGTCTTTTTTTTTTGAAAATCCTCAATAATCCTTGCTTTTTCCTTACCTTTCCCTTGCTGTTTCCTGATCTCACAAGCATTATTAACAGTAGCGGATTGGGAAAAGGGAATGATAGAATGACAAAGGAGTCAACCGAAAAACACGAGGAATTGAATTGGGAATTCGATAAATGAATTTTGTTAGGAAATTGCACACCCACAGGACTACTTTTTAATCACGAAAATCTCGAAATTCCGTACCTTTCCGCGGAAAATCCGTACCTACCGACCTTCCGAAATCCGTGCTTTTTCAATGAATTCGTACTTTCCTCATACCCTGATGTCAGTGACACTTCAAGAACTTGCCACACAAACGATAGCCACCCTAGCAACGGCGTTTTCGCCATTAAAGCTCTTCATAAATAATCGAATCCAGGCGGAGCCTCCTGCCTCAAAAAATATCGATTGTTTCACATACACACAAGCGGACGCGGTGTTGCCGGCCCGCGATAAATCGCCACCGGTTGATAGGCGCCGGATCCTAAATCCTCTCGCGGCTCGAGGGATGCGAGCCGCGCCGAGGGCTCGAAAACCGAGGGGGAAAGATCCAAACAAAAACCACCCATCAATCCACTTATCCCGCAGACGTTACGCGGTTCCTCCCCGAGGAACAGAACAAGAGCGGCCGCAGCCGCCTCAGACTTCCCTGCAGCTCCCCCAGCACACCCTTCACCCCTCGTTCGCGGGTTTCGCCAAGGTCACGCACACAGCGGCGCGAGCAACGCACACAGACGCAGCGCACACCCTAGCGCCTCCCGTTTCAACAGATGATGCGAACGACCGGGCCGGCCGACCCGATGAGTCACGTGACGACCCCCCCTCCTCCGGTCTCCGCCCCCCTCGCGGCGGTGTTGCCGCGGCGCCGGGGCCGATGCGCCGTTTGGATGCCGACGCCGCGCCGCTGAGCGAGGATTACGAGGAACGGAACGAGGGCTTTGTTCGAGCGAGTTACTATGCACCGAGGAGGTGCTCGCTGCTCTGCTCTCGAGCCCCCGCGGTATGAGCACCCATCACGGATCCGCGTTCCTCGCTGACGAAACGACCGGCGGCTGGGGACTCTATCGGTATGGACAGGTGAAAACTCCTGATCTGGTCTCGTTCCGTCCTGGAGCCGTATTCACGGTCAGGGATGAGGACAGTGATCATAATCGTTCCGTATAGAGTTCATTTTCTGAAGAGGATCCATATGGTTGACATTGAGATCAAGGGAGGCTTATTGAACAATGTATATGGTTGACATCGAGATCAAGGGAGGCTTATTGAACAATGTATCATGTGATAGACAATTTTTGCGAACCTCCGCGGTACAATTCAGTATTATTACTCCATGTTCAGAATAGTTCCATGAAGAACTCCTTTCCTTGCATAGGAGGCTCCATAAGTCCACACGGTTTCCACTGTGATCAAGAGATGTTTAAGGAAACTTTGAACATCACATCATGAAATAGACGATTTTTGCGAACCTCCAGTAAAATTCAGTATTGTTACTCCTTGTTCATAGTTATTCCGTAAAGAGCACCTTTCCTTAGAAGGCTCCATATGGTTGACTCTGAGATTAAGGGAGGCTTAAAGAAGTCCTGAACAATGTATCATGCGATAGACAATTTTTGCGATCCTCAAGTAAAATTCGGTATTATTACTCCATGTTCATAACAGTTCCGTGAAGAACTACCTTTCCGTAAGTGGCTCCATATGGTTTACACTGTGATTAAAGATTTTTAAGATAACTTTGAACAATGCATCATGAAATAGAAATTTTTTGCGAACCTCGAGTAAAATTCAGTATTATAATTTTGGAGATGGACCCTAATTCATAGTCGTTCTGAAGAGCTATTTTCATTAAAAAGCCTCGTATGGTTTGCATTCTGATAAGGATAATTTTACGAAACCTTGAACAATGCATAATAAAATAGACAGTTTTTGCGAAACTCCATTAAATTTAGTATTATTACTCTGGGAATGGATCCTCACAGGGAATCACAATGACTTGCCACAGTAAGAAATACAGAATACAGAAGAAAATATCTAGCGAGTTTTGTAAAATTGAAGGTAAGATTGCACCTGGATCCTTACAAGAAATTACAGTGACTTGCCACTGTAAAAAATACAGAATGCAAAACTGCAAAAGATTTATTTTGCGAGCTTATTGAAATTTAAGGTAAGTTTATACCTACCTCATAGTTTTTCAAACACGTAGAAGTTTTCTTTGGTGTTTTTTAGTTTTTGCGGTGGTAGATCATTGTATTTTCTGGTAAAAATCCATTTTCAGAATTATAATGCTTCATTTTGCTCGAGGTTCGCAAAAATTGCCGATTCAATTATACATCGTTCACGGTTTCCTTAAACCACCCCTAAGTACAGTATTATAACCATACGAGGAAGGATAAAATGAACAGTCTAGAAGAAAGAGACCCCTTGTTATCCAAAAAACTTCACTAAAAAAAAGGGTGACTTGATTTACACAGGAACATTCAGAAATCTCCTACGAAGAAGAGGATTCCCTCTTGATGAAGGAATTAAATCGCTTAAATCAAGCAGGTTTCAGCATGAGCGACTTCAATCTTCGCATACAATTTTCTTCGATTAGCGAAGTATTATAAGACGTCCCTGCTTAAATCAAGCCACTATATTTTAGTAGCGATTACTCCCTTCTGATTCGATCCATTTAAAATCAGTTTTGTAAGATAGTTAATTTTATACTGAAGTTCAAAATAGAGATGCATTTGATTATGATTTGGCTCCAAAACTGTGAATTCGCTTTGAGTAATCGCGATCAGATGCAGAAAGTTCTTATCCTTACCATTTTTCAAATCAGCCCTCCCATTTGAAAATCTCCTTTTCCCTAAGGAATTCCAAAAAATGAACTTTTTTATGACTGTGCGTAGGAATTGGCGTGACTTTGCGAAAAACAGGTGTTTTTTACCTGTTCCACAAGAAGAAGAAAAAATAATTTGCAAACTTTCCTGGGTCAAAACCCCGTTTTCGGGGCCTTTCCGCTTTCTCACGCAACCTATCGCGATCCGTCCGGTCACGTGGTCGAGAAGTTTTTGCACCCCTGGAAGGAAAGGCCATCACCTTGGAGAATTTGTTTCACTGCCAAAAATTGTCCTCAAGTTTGCCTCACGCAGCCCGGGATCGCAAGGCTAGGCATCTTTTGCGACCGTATTTCGGCGATATGGAGAGGCCAACACTGCCAACAGCAAGGGTTGAAGACAGTGAAGCGAAGGGTTGAAACTCGTCAGATCAGCAGAAAAATTCCGAGTGAGGACATCCTCTACCCTCGGTGACGGAGCCGGATGTTACTCGGCGTCCGACTTGACGTGACGTCACTCGACGTCTTACATCTTCGACTGTAATGACAATCTCATTTTCCTTCTTCAGTTTTATCTGCAACATTGCCGAGTGTTGATAACGCTTCGGAACGCCCATTACGAGCCCCGGGACCCGACTCCGGCACCAGAGTGCTTATCTACGCCCCAGCGATGCCGTCCCGTCTCTCAGAGAGTTTATCGTTCCGAAGGGATAAGTATAGACTACGATTGCCACAGAATTTAGAACCCGAATTTCCCTGACACATTTTGGTAAAATTCCTTGCAGGCTGATTTTTTAAATCGATCGACAAAGCTTTAGACAAACGAGACAAGAGGAATAAGGAGGGATCCTTGGTGTGAGCGGGTGGTTGCAAGGGACGAGGGTGAAAGGTAATATAGACTAACAAATGGCAACCCACGAGGGACCCCATAGTAGGTCCATCATTTACCCTCTTAGTCTATAGAAACCACCCATTTCAATGAATAGGA